AGGTTTACTTGTTTGGTACTTAGAAATGCTAACAAAAGGTTAATTTGTTGGGTATGTTGTTGTAAGAGACGTTTTGGGGAAGTATGTTATAAGTAAGTTGGTTTAAGTAGTGTTATATTGATTTATTCATTAAGTGCATTATAAGTTATAAGTAGAGTATTCATTTATTCAGTAAGTACATTATAAGTTGTTATAAGTAGTGTTGTATTAATCTATTCATTAAGTACGTTATAACTGTTTATAAGTAGTGTTATATTCATCTATTCATTAAGTACGTTATAAGTCTTTATAAGTAGTGTTATATTGTTTTATTCATTAAGTACATTATAAGAGGTTATAAGTAGTGTTATATTCATCTATTCATTAAGTACGTTATAAGTGTTTATAAGTAGTGTTATATTCATCTATTCATTAGTACGTGTAAAGTTTTTATAAGTAGTGTTATATTCATTTATTAATCAAGTACGTTATAAGTTGTTATAAGTAGCGTTATATTCATTGATGTCATGTTTATTGTTTGAAGATACACTTGGGGAAGTAAGTACGTTATAAGTAATTTGTTATAAGTAGTCTTACATTCATTTGGTGTTTCCAGATTTAGAAGTGATGTTATTAGCTTGGTTATTATTGTCATTATTATTTTATTTATTATAATTTATTATTATTATTATTATCTATTATTATTATTATTATTATTTATCATTTTTTCTTATCATTATTATTTCATTTATTATTATCATTTTATCTGCTGTCATTCGTGCTGTTTTAAGGCAGTAGTGTTATTATTGCCGCTGTTGTTATTATTGTTATGTTGGTTTTTAATGGTTGTATATATTTTGTTATTATTTTTGTCTCTTGTTATTGTCATTGTTATTGATACCACTGTTATTACTGTTTGTGTTATTATTACGCATGCATGAAAACACACACACACAAACAAACTTAAACATTCACACACACACACACACACACACACACACACACACACACACACACACACACACACACACACACACACACACACACACCACACACACACACACAGACACACCCGCGCGCGCGCGCACAGACCAATTAAAGTACATTTGTAACTATAAACAGCAAAATGATAAAGCGAGAATGAGAAATGCCAAAGAATTTTTTACACGATATTTATGGTAAAGAATAATACATACGATTTTTTTTTCTTAAAACATAAAATTTATTCTTCCTCTTTCGTGTCATAATATATTCTTTTTGTTGCAGTTGTCATAGAGTGTTGCCAAGGGAAGAGGTTGCTAGAAGGTCAGAGGCGGTTAGCGGGTCTTGGGTAAGGTCAAGGGAGGTCATGTAAGGCTTTGAAGGGAAAGTCATGCAGACAAAAAAAAAAAAAAAAAAAAAAAAAAAAAAAATCGACGATTTGTGGATTTACCCCAAAGCTTAATAGTTTTTTTTTTTTTTTCGTTTCCTCTCTCTGGGCTCAGTGGAGGTCGCGAGGTACAGAAAACTAGTCATTTTAGGACATGTAAATTGGATAATGGAGTTTGTGGGGAGAAAAGTGTTAGAACTAAGGGGTTTAGAAGTCACATCGTTGTCAGAAATTTTAATGAAAACGTGCACGCTGCAATTGCACTAGGACAGGTATAACTTGTGGTGAGCAGAGGTAAAGCCTTGCTGTTTTACTCAACAAATATCTTTTACCGCAGGGAAACAGGAGGTTTAGAGCCTTCGTAAAGGAATATTAGCACTTCGCCTAAACACGAAAGACGGAGAGGGAGAGAGGGAGAGGGGGAGAGGGAGGGAAGAGAGGGAGAGGGAGAGGGAGGGGGGAGGGAGAGGGAGGAGAGGGAGGAGAGAGGGAGAGGGAGAGGGAGAGGGAGAGGGAGAGGGAGGAGGGGAGGGAGGGGGAGGGGAGAGAGAGAGGAGGAGAGAGAGAGAGAAGAGAGAGAGAGAAGAGAGAGAGAGAGAGGAGAGAGAGAGAGAAGAGAGAGACAGAGACAGAGACAGAGACAGAGAGAGACAGAGACAGAGACAGAGACAGACAGACAGACAGACAGACAGGACAGACAGACAGTGGCAGAGAGAGGAGAGAGAGAGAGAGAGAAAGAAAGAAAGAGAAGAGGAAAAAGAGAGACAGAGAGACAGAGACAGAGACAGGGAGACAGAGAGAGAACGAGAAAGAGAGAAAAAGAGAAAGAGCGAGATAGCGAGAAACAGACAGATAAGAAAATCAACAAACAAAATTCCTAATGGCACGAAACAGCCTACAGTAGAAAAGCCCTCCCCCGGTCGTGCCAACCCATTTAAAAAAAAAACAACAACAACAGGAGACAGATTACATATTTACATGCGGGCGAAGAACACAGTGGAACGAGAAAGACAACACGAATTATTGAGAAAGACAACACGAATTATTAGCGTTTTCCTGGATCACGTTCCTTCGAGCAGTCAGCTAATTGAGGCGGAGGTCAGGTGTGCCGTGACAGAGCATGGGAGAACTTGGGGGTGGTTCAGACAGGCC